CCACCCAACACAACGTACCTTGGTTGCGCTAGGCGATGAAGTACGTGCGTCAGATATAGGGGGTGCGTTGGTTGGAAGGCCACATTCTTGGGAGGTATGGTTGACGTTGGGTTAGTGGGCAGCTGTTCCACGGATGGGCCGGCTGGTGCAGGGGACGTCAATGGAGTGTCGGGCTGGTTGCCAGATGGAGCGCGAGGTGCGTCAGTCGTAGGGGTAATGGCGGCGCCAGGGACCTTGCGTTTGCGGCGGCCAGGTACGGCGTGGGTTTGAGCGCCAAGGACGGCAGCATGAGGGTGTTGCGCGGGTGTTACACGTTTCACCTCGAAGTTGGATGCGATGGTGTAAGCGCTGCAGTCCAAGCCGCTCAGCTCCACACCACGTTGCGTGTAGTTTTGCACAACGTTGGCGAGGGTGTAGTCGCCATGTTCGTCCGCCTCTACAAGCTCCACGCCGGTTTCCGCGTCTTCTGGTTCCACAGCGGAATCGGATGCCAGTGCAGTGAAGGCGCCTGTCGCCAGGTAGTTGCGTTTGTAGGTTGCTTGGAACGTGTCGTGGCCCGATAGTTTGAAAGCAACCAGTGCCATGCCGGCCGTGATGGTAGCCGTCATGCGATGCACCGCAGTACACAGGTTGCCGAACACGCTGGGTTCATGACCAGTGGCACTGGGTTGGTGACCTGCCATCATGAAGTCCTGTACACGCCCTACGGCGGTACACGTGAGGTGCGCCTGGCTGCGTTCGATTGTCTTCGCAGTGTACTTGGAGCTGTAGTACGCAGCGTCACGGGCGCGATCAATGGCGGGTTGTAGGAGGGGGCAGTCGCCGCGTTCGTTGATGGGACGCGCTAGTTGGGCGGCGATGTCAGCCGTGTAATCCCGGTCGACTTCGCAGGCCAGGGACATCAGATGGTTGCATCCGAAGGCCAGAGCAATCGCAGGCATGTGCGGCACCAGGTTGGATGCGAGGCGGGGCAGCAAAAATAGACCGGTGGTACCGACCCACTGGAAAGCTGTGCGGATAAATCGGGGAAAGGCCATGCCGCAGCTGTCGTCGGTGCCACGGCAGCCGTGCCGCTTGCATGTTGAACTGTGGGTGTGGGTGAGGGTGCTGCGTATGGCGGCAGCATGATGGGCACGGCAGGCGCAGTGCCGGGATGGAGGTGGTAGTCCGCCGTTTGCACACCCTGCCAGGCATTCAAAGTCGTACGCGGCAGGTGGGCAATTTGCCTGTACTTCTGGCACGGACAAGCCGTGTTGCTGCGCTTCCGTATTAGACATACCCATGACGAGAGGCTGCATTTCATTGGTCGGTGTCGGAGCATAGTACGGCGAGGGGTACCACATTTCGCACAACGCGTATGCAAGCGCCAGAGCTCGGCAATTCGGACCGCAGAATAACGCTTGGAGGTTGTCCAGCGCGAAGTACTGGAGGTGTGCGACTCCGTGCAGGTGTAGTGCCAATCGTCCGCTCTGCTCGATTTTGACGACTACCTCAAATACGACCCCACAGAAACAGTTGGGGTCAGTTTGTCGCATTGCTCCAGGCGTGAAGCCAAACAGGTGTTCCACCAACACCTCTTTGGTGGCGATGAGCAGCGCCGCACAGCTGTGTGGGTCTTCTTTGACGCGGCGCCACTTTTCCACCGTGCTGCTGATATGGGTCGGACGCCCGGCGTCATCAAAATCTATGACCTGACCGGAGGCTACAACGGCACAGCTAGCGTGCATGTCCGCCGGGTTCAGATTGAAGAACAATGGCGGCCAGCCAATAGTGAGGGCAGCCGCACGCATCGTGGCTTTTGCACCGTTGTAGTAGGCATCTGTAAGGTCGATTCGTAGCAGGCTGGCGCGTGCGCCATCCAGGAGGGCACGCACCACGGGTGACTGTTGCGACAGCAGGTGCCGTCGCTGCGCATGACGGTACGGTAGTGCCAAGATGTCTGCCATGGTACGTACCACATCCCGTGGTACTAGTGCCGCTGCTCCACCCAGCCGTGGTCGCATGCGCAGGGCCACTCCTACCTGCGCCATGCTTTGCTGCCGCACGCTGATATCATACATTCGGGCAAGCAGCATCAAGTTACCGCTGAACTGCGCCCGTGGCACCCTCCGTACGAGGTGGCTGCAATACGAGGCGAACGACATACCCGGTGGCCGTTGTCCGGACAAACCATATGGAAACGAAACCGGGAAGCAGACGTTGAGGATGGCTGGATGGCGGTCATCCAGGATCTGAGCACCACGGCCGCCAGCAGCGAACGCGAGACGTGCACGCCCAGTGAGCAAGTCGTGCACCACGTTGGGCCGGTTATCAAAGTCGGTGCCGTCCGTCGGAACAGGAGCTGGTTGTGGAAGGACCACCTCCAGTTCATTCGGGATGCCCAGATTGGCATCAGCTGCGTTGGGTGGTGGGGGCGGATATTCGTAAGATGGGCAAATGGCACGTTCGGGATGCCCAGATTGGCATCAGCTGCGTTGGGTGGTGGGGGCGGATATTCGTAAGATGGGCAAATGGCACGTTACTCGAGTGACATCCGCAACGTTCGCATAAGACATGCAGCACTAACACGACGAATAGTGCACATCGGATATTCTTACCAGGATCGCCTGGTTGGCGCAGGACGACCGCGACAGGCGCCAAGCCCGTAGCACCAGCATCTATGATGGAAAATAAACACGGTTGCGCAGACGTACGAGGAGGTGAACAGAAGCACAGTTAATGGTTCGGAATCTAACACGTTCGGACGACACATACGGCAGCACTTATAGCATGTGAAAAACCGCAGCTGTATACAGCTGTATACAGGCTGTACAGGACAATGGTGTTACGGGTGTGGATAAACAGTTATGTATGTACCGTTTTGCTAGGTTGGTACCGTACCGTACCCATACGTGCCGTGTACCCATCACACACATACCTGCCATGCGAGTGTCGGAGGTGGTCGTTCCAGGCGCGGGTACATCGGGACCTATAACAGATGCACGAGTACAGAATCACCATTGCCGGGAGGATGCATGCGAATCAGGTGGAAACAATACCGCGAGGTGGAAGTGAACGGACGTAGCAGCATGTATAGGTGGCAGTATTCAGTTGTCAACTTCACTGATGTATGCCGTACTTAACAAGTCGCACCTGTACGAAGCGGTGGTCCATAGGCGCCAGCATCATGAAGGATATCATTAGCTGTGCCGGTCGGTCCAGCTGTGGTGTCGTCGGCAGCTATAACACAGGAACATTAAGGTTGGAAGGACGTGCGTGAAGCAGGTGGAAGTAATAATGCCAGTTTGGAAGCGTCATATGCAGTATGCAGCCCTACGTCAGCTATGAAAAGTCGCACCTGTCTCAAGTGGTGAACCATAAACGCCACCGCCATCAAAGTTATTACCAACGATGTTTCCTTGCAACGTTTCATGCAGCTGCCGTACACCAGCAGCACCGGTACGGTCGTGTAGGAAGGTACTTCGCAGTACACCAGCGACTTCCGGATCGGTAGGACCGATTGCGGAGCGCAGCAGTGCTTCCGGTACTTGTGCAATGCATCCCATACGCTCATACTCCTGTATAGCTTCTTCATCCACTGCACCTTCATCTTCATCGTTATGTTGAAGGAAACGCACCCAGGCGACGACGACGTTGCCATGCACTTTCAGGCCTGGTGCACGGCGGACACGATCCAGCAAGTCCTGCCGGTCTCGGACTTGATCCACGCAAACCACC